GATCTATTTTGACCTTGCTGCCCATCCTCAAAGTTTTCAGTACCTTAAACCAGAAAATCTTGTGGATCATAGATTTGGGTACTGGTTTCCATTCTGTAGACAGAGAATCCTTTCCATGAGCAGACAGTTGAATATTTGCATTCCAGCACATTTTTTAAAATATATATTTTTATTGATTTCAGAGAGGGAGAGAAACATCAATGATGAGAGAGAATCATGGATCAGCTGCCTCCTGCACGCCCCCTACTGGGGATCGAGACCACAACCCAGGCATGTGCCCTTGACCAGAATTGAACCTGGGACCCTTTAGTCTGCAGGCCAAACACTCTATCCACTGAGCCAAACTGGCTAGGGCTGCATTCCAGCACATTTAATAAAAGATAATGACACTTAAATCACATGTATCAAATTTTCTAAAGATAACAGTATCATGTAGTTCCACTCTGCCAAATGCCACAAAGTGGGAAGCTCAAGTTAATGCTTCCCTACAATGAACTATTGAGCCTACACAATCGGTTTGCTTTCTCCACTTTTCTCCCCTTAGTCATTTAATAGCTGTTGTATATGAGCATTTTTGGAAGTAGCTGTGGCTCAGAGTACTGCATTGTGTCACTCATACCTTTGATCCAGTGGTTCTCAACCGGTGGGTCTCGACCCCTTTGGGGGTCGAACGACCCTTTCACAGGGGTCGCCTAAGACCATCGGAAAACACATATATAATTACATATGGTTTTTGTGATGAATCACTAGGCTCTAATTATGTTCAAGTTGTAACAATGAAATTGGGGGTCACCACAACATGAGGAACTGTATTAAAGGGTCGCGGCATTGGGAAAGTTGAGAACCACTGCTTTAATCTATTTGAAGTCATCAGACCCTTTCACACACACGGTTAGAATTTAAATACCTAGGAGGAGGATGTGGGGAGGGGTAAACACTAGGCCACACATTCCCGCTTGCCCAGGAGAGCCCGTGTTTTTGGTTGTTGCCCTTTCCAATTACTACTAGTGTCCTCTTTTGATCTCAAAGAGATTCTGGTTTGGACTATAAAAGATATGATCGACCTAATTACAGTTTCTCAAATCTAAAGACATCTTTCTCTTAAAGATACACTTCAAATGAAAAGGTTCATTCAAACACGACTGCAGAGTAAGCCCTCAACTCCTATGTCTCTGCAGAGGGAGGTGGACTAGGACTTGCTCTGAAGTTGGATCACCAGTGAGAATCATGCCTTCAACACTTCATAACTGCAAGCCTTGGGCAAGTCACGTGATCTCTCTTTGCCTCAATTTACTCTCTGTAAAATGGGGAGAAACAGTACCTCTAACTCAAAGGGTCATTGTCAGGGCTAGAAAGAATGTATATAAAGTACTTATACACCAATTGTAGGTATCTGTGGGCCACACTAAAATGTTCCACCCTCAGCCTGGCTGGCGTGGCTCGACCTATGAACCGGGAGGTCACGGTTCGATTCCCGGCCGGGGTGCATGCTGGTATTGTGGGCTTGGTCCCCCAGTGTGGGGTGTGCAGGAGGCAGCTGATCGATGGTTCTCTCTCATCATTGATGTTTCTCTCTCCCCCTTCATCTCTGAAATCAATAAAAATGTTTTCCTTTCAAAAACAGACCGCATGGGTTTCTTCAGGGCATCTATACACAACTATTACTGTGTAACGTTGGAGATCTGTTCGCTGTTCACCGAAGACCAACATAATTTCACACCCAGGGCTCCTGAAAGACCAAAGTGATTCCCACTTCCTCTCAAATGGAACTTTCCCATCCATGGCAATCAGGTTGTTGCTCCACTGAAGGGACCTGGCAAATAAATGCCACCAACCATCCTGTGCCAAGCCAAAGGAGTCCCTCTAACCCTCACGTTTGCTGTGTGGTGTGGTTGTTGTTCCAAAAGCTCAAGGTTATGTAACATCACCCAAGCGGGTTTCTTTTAGATTTCTCCTCCTTCACTCTCCTTAGTCTATGCTGACATCACCTCTCCTCACCGGTTCCTGGATGAGCTTCTCTCCCATGGCTCTAAGCACCACCTCAGTGGAGAGCTAGGTACATGGTTCCCATCCAGGCCTCTCATTTCAACCACTAGCTGCTCTACAAGCAATTATCTTCTGCTTCTGGAACTACCCTTCTCTATCTCCTCTTCTAGTTAGAAGCACCTCCACTCACCTGAAGACATCGAATGGGTTCTGTGGACCTTACTTTTTGTCTTCCGAACCTGTGTTTGTTCCATCCTCGCAGCATCCAAGGTTCAAGCCTAGGTCACCTCTCCCTTGAATTTCTGTGCTTTAGAAGTAGCCCTCAGGAAGCACTTCTATGTCTGGCGAGATCTTGCTTCCAGGTGTATCCTCTCTTTGGTTCAAATACATTTTTATAGAAAATTTTTAAAGAGAACTATCCCTCTGGCAGCAATGTCCAGGAGAAATCATTGTGTTAAAGCAGGCAGGAAGACTATTGCAAATTCAACCGTGTTCTTTTGCATAAATCCCGTGATGGTTCCGTAACTACAGGGTGAGGTATAAACATCTCTCATGGCAGCTTTCCTAATATCGGGGCCTTCCCAACTCTCCAGTTGTCTTTCAACACTCGCCCAACCCCTTAGTCGAAGTTCTCAAATCCTCTTGCTCTGGAAGATGTGATCATTGATGTAAACAAAACCCCGCTGAGACGTAAGCCCCAATACTAGTAGCCCTTATTGCCTAGGTTTTGCCCGACACATTACCTGAATCTCCCATATTAATGTGTGAAGGGTAGAGGACAGGGATGACATCTTATTCAGATTTATTTAGGAGATGCTAAATAGATATATTGACTAATTAAGACTATACATGATAATGATTTAAAGATTTAATAACCAGGTTCTGAGAAGCAGGTACTTCATTTAAGTTAAATTCATATTACGTTAAATTTCAGCTAATTACTAGGATATTTAAAGTCCTTTCAATTTACTACTTTGAAAAAGTGACTTAGTGCCCGGCCGGCGTGGCTCAGTGGTTGAGCGTGGACCTAGGAACCAGGAGGTCACGGTTCGATTCCTGGTCAGGGCACATGCCTGGGTGGTGGGCTCAATCCCGAGTGTGGGGCGTGCAGGAGGCAGCCGATCCAGGATTCCCTCTCAGCATGGATGTTTCTAGCTCTCTCTCCCTCTCCCTTCCTCTCTGAAATCAATTAAAAAAATTAAAGAAAAAGTGACAGCTTTTATTTCAAAACGCAGAAGCCACATTTTTAAAAATTTAATTTAAATAGGTTAAGCACTTGAACTGCTATACTGATGGTATAAGATTTCCTATTTAACTGGTGACAATGAGGAAAATATATGATTTAGTTACCACTTTCTGGATCAATACTTCTCCCTTTTTTATAGTGTGTGATTAGCTTTTTTGCCTAAACAATGTGTGTTATGATGAAACCCGTTTTATTATTAAGGGACCAGGATTGAGTTTGTTTTAATGGAATTTCCCTACATGAGCAGTAAAAAGAAAAAAGATATTCTATTTCTTCTAAAACCTGGAAAATGTAAATTATAAAAGATGTTAAATTGATGAAAAGCAGTTCTGCATGACTTTGTTCATCTAGCTACACTTCAAAGTAATGTTCAGGTGTCTGATTTCTATCTCCTATCCCCTCTATCCCAGCCTAAGCTGAACAAGTATTCTTGACATACAACTTCCCAACAGTCACTGGTGAAACACCACTAAATTACTCCTAAATGTCACACAACTTAGAGTAATCTTGGTAATAAACTATCTGAATAAAACCATAGAGCCCTAGCTGGTTTGGCTCAGTGGACATGTGTCGGCCTGTGGACTGAAGGGTCCTGGGTTCTATTCCAGTCAAGGGCACTTGCCTGAGTTGCAGGCTTGATCCCCAGTAGGGGGCGTGCAGGAGGCAGCTGATCCATGATTCTCTCCTCATTGGTGCTTCTCTCTCTCCCCCCACCTCCCTTCCTCTCTAAGCCAATAAAAATATATTTTAAAAAAAACAACACATAGAAAATAAGAAACTGTGTCAGTAAGATAAACTAGAACAGCTAAGAAACATTTAGGTATAGCTTGTGCCTTCCTTTAACCTTTGTTTCTGGGTAGCTGGCTTGCAATTTTTATTTTGTTTGTCTGAAGTTCATTTAGAAATATTAATGGTTAAGCATCCTGAGCAGCACTTAGGATAAGCACTCTTGCTCCTTAAGTACAGGGAAAAAGTACTTGATTAATGCAATCAGCACAGCATTTCACTAGAGAGGATTATAAATTTTCTTTAGTCATACATATAACTTCATTTATAAACATTCTCTATGCTTCTTCACTAAAAGCTTCCTGGAAAAATCTTAGAAAGTTAGAATGAACAGAGTAATAAAATGAGAATATGTGCCAAATGCAAGGTACCATTATTCTAAAATAAAATACTATTATTAGAAGTGACCTGTTAATGCTAATATAGCTTGCTATATTACTAGTGACATGGAATTTGCAGACTAGCCCTCCCCCCCGCCATCGTGTCATGCAAGCAGGAAAGCATGAAATTTCAGAATTGCCTAACATTAAAAAATAAGTCTCTTAATTTATTTGCATTCTAAAATAGAATCCTTCATCTGAGTATTTTTTCCATATAAAAAGCTACTAAATGATGTACAGGATTTGTCAAGCCCATATAACATTCCCTTTAAAATCTTAAGTTCAATCACTATTTGTTTTCTACTATTATACTACATTTTGGCAGCAATTGTTTATTGGTCTGTCACTGCAGTAATTGCAACTTAACAATAAACCAGTCTGACATTTTAGGTCTTGAAGATACATACCATATATATTTCTTTAAAAATAATCATACTTTTGTAAGCAATACTTTACAGTAGACACCTCAAAAATCTACCATAGATGTGATAAAACGAGA